TTTTATATGTGAAAATACTAGTGGGTCGATTACAAAAGCACTTAAAAATTTGGGGGAGCAAGTGTAATTATTCAATTAACTTTACACATGGTTAACTATGAAGCTGGTGAGTCATTAGGCAAATAAGGTGGAGGTGGGCTGTGTATGCCGTGTGTGTGTGTGTATAAAGTGTAGAGTGTGTGTGTGTGTGTGTGTCTGGTTTCTTTGCTGAAATCATGAGTGAGGGTGAGCAAGAGAGAAAGGAGGAAAAAAAAATATATGTGTGTGGCTCTTGAACCGTGAGCAAGGTAGGAGAGAGGGTGAGAGAAAAACAAGAAGAAAGTGGGAAAGAAAAAATAAGGTATATGGGATTAATTTTAAGCATGTATGTGTGATTAATTTTAGTATGTACGTATATATGTGGGCTGTTTTGTTTTAAATTAAGTTGTTTTAATGTAATTTCATGGGCTGTTTTAGTTAATTTTATGGTCTATTTTATTTTAATGTTAAAACAGATTTTTGTGAGTTTAAATTAAGTGTATTAAACATAATTTAGGGGCTATTAAGAATGTGTTTAAAATAGGTATACAATGGGTGTGAGAAAAGTATAAAAAATAAACACTTGGGATGCTTTTCGTGGGCTAGGTTGGAACCAAAATTATGGGAGTGAAATAAGGAGTTAAAGGTATGATTAACTTTTTTAAGTGTGGTTGTGTTAAAAGAAAAATGCAATAGAAGTTGGAAATGAGTGTCAGTAACGTCAAAACTCTGATTTATAAATGTTATTATCACATGTGTAAATTTTAATTCAAATGACCTGAAATTTTGCATGCTGCATTTTTAAATGATGTTTGATGTGATAATGTGAATTTTGAATGCAAATGAATATAATATCCACTGCAAAATGTATGAAATGCCAGAAATACAGTTTTAGGATTCGAGGTCGAAATGTGTGAAAATGGGCTCCTAGTCAATGTGTTTGACCTACTTAATCCTAATTGTGATTAATGTGAGTGATTTTGAAAATTTAGGGAGGAAATCTGATTCCTAACTCTAATGTGCCAATATGTGAGTGGATAGTGCGATAATCGGAGATACTGGGACACTTTGGTTTGAATCATTTGTATGCATGCACTAGTGCATGATTAATTATTAAATGTGATAAGCATATTGATATTATAATTACAAATGTGTTAGGTGGAATAGGTGAGACAGTCGGTGTTGGAACAGATGCGGTAACACCGAAAGGATCCAGCGATAGGATCGAAAGGCTGTAGATCTGTACATTTGAGGTGGATGTATATTTTTGAATGTTTTGAAAATGCTATTATAAGATGATAGTAAATGATAGAATTTAATAGCAATTCTCTAGGATTATGTGTTACGTGCTTCTGTGAGTGAATGATGCTTTGTACTGTGTATTGTATATTATGGCGTAGTATTTGAAACAGGGGCGTCCATGCATGATCACTGTGTGTGCAGTAGTGTGCTAGCACTATGGTGTTCCCGGGAGGTTTAGGAGACACAGATCTATGTGGAATCGATTACCCTATGAGGGGTAGTATGGATGTGATGTGGCTTATGAATTCGTTGGAATTGGATTGATGTTGTTGTTTGATATATGTATCTACATAGTGTCTACCTACTTCAGTGTATTACTATCATTTCCACTTCATATACAAGATGTATACTCACTGAGTGCATGGTTTAGCTCACACCCCTATAACTTCTCTTTTTCAGGTACTATAGAGGAAGATGCAGACCAATCCACTGTTCAGTCGATTGAGTCTTGTACAATATTAGTGTGATATCACTCAGGTTGAGTGTCTGTATGATTAATTGCTGGGTTGCATATTATATTTGTGAGAAATTATTATGGTAGGTTATTAGTATATATATGTAAACAGACTTAACAAGCATAGTTTGTGATGTATACTATGTGGGTGTGAGATTTTGTGTATGTCTATTACTTGGGAAACAAACAATGGTACAAGTTATGAGAAAAGTTTTACCATCATGCTTAATGACTAAGCTGATGGGTGGTGTTGTTACACCAGTGAGATTATTTAATGTTTGATTAGTTCAATTTATACGTACATGTAAACAGGTGTATCAAAAATCTAGTCGCGTTTTATCTTTGGGAGATCAGGATGGAGCATGACAATGGTACATTTTTGTAGCAAAATTGTGTTAACTTGTCATTGCTAAATAATTTAGCTACGACACATATAGTCACGACCTAGTGGCAAAACGAAAGTTGTCACTAAAGTATATAATAACAATTTTTATACATTTAGGCCCAGCAATTTGTGCGGCTAAAAGACCAAGTTTTATATTTTTATTTTATTTGATAGTTTAGAATTATAATTTAATTTGGAGTGTTCTAAAATATTTAATTTCTTAAAATATGTCAATTTTTTATACTTCATTAGGCATGTATTTTATTTATTTTTAGTAACTTTTTTGAGACTAGAAATTTAAGTCTATTTTAAAAACCTTTAGAGGCTGTTTGGTAAGGGGGTATTGAGGGCTTGACAAAATGAGTTCGGAAAAAAAGTCCAAAGGACCCCTAAATCCCTTATTTGGATTAAAAATTTAATCATGAGTTCTCAAACCAGACCCGTAGTTGGCCCGCATATTAAACCCATAACCACGGATTTCATCAAACCTAAGGGGAGGTAGATTTGGGAAGATGGGTTAATGGGTTAAATATGCAAAACACAATTGTACCTCTTAGAATTGGTATGAATTGGATTGATTAAAAGTAAAATAGTCATTTATAGGACAAATAGTTGTTAATAATTATGATATATTCATGAGTTTTACATGTTTATGTATTACATACCAAACATGGGTATTGACCAGATTTAATGCTAAATCTCATCTTTGTAAATAGGGTTTTGAGTTTGGAAGGGTTTGGGGAAGTCAATCCAAACCTTCCTCCAAAATCCATCCAAACAAACTCTTAAAGATTTGAGAATCCTATAAATTTTCATATGTACTACGGTTCTAATGCGTTAATCATTTGAAAAATATACCTTTAATTTTTTAATTTTCCTTGTAATATATGTACTCAGAATTATGTCGTTAGTAATAGTAATACTATTTTTTTGGTAATAACATATTCCAAAGGGACTCAATATAAGTAGTAACTATTTCAGTTGACTTTTCCATTGATAACACTCTTGCTTTCACGGAGTTGGCTTCAATACGGAAAGGGGAAATTTGGTACGATACCGAAAATCAAAACAGAATATAGCGTTGACACTTGTACCCATATAAACTTATCAAAACTTATAACCGGTTTAACCGGTATATATTTTAAAAATAAATGCAAGCACTACACACTTAAAAAAATATATAATAGAAATTAAAATTAGTTTTAAAAAATAATAATTATTTATCTGATTTAAACCTAAATAAAAAATTAACAAAAAATTTTCAATAGCTAAAATTATTTTTAAAAAATTATAATTATTTATCATATTTAAACGTGAAATAAAAATATAAGAAAAATTTTACAGTGACATTAAAATTTAAAAATATTAGAGGTTAGGATTAGGTTATTAATTTTTTTTTTTTTTTTCTTTTTTAAAGGAGTACTATTTTTTTTTTGGGAGGGGAGGGGAAAGAGGGTTTAAACCCTTGACCTCAAGAAGACAAAACCTTCATAAGATAAGGAGTACCATTGGACCAAAGGTCCATTGGTAGGATTAGGTTATCAAGTTTACAAGGCTAAATTACAATTAAAGTTTAGCACATTGCTATTATTAAAAGGTTACATTATCACAAATTCTTTTGGGTAAAATTGCTATTTTTGGGGTTAAGGTAAAATTATAACAACTTTTGTATTTAACGCTAAATAAATTATAAAAAAGTTATCAAATATGTTAAATTAAAATGGGTAAAATAATTTGGGGGAAAGGTAAAATTATTACAACATTTGTTTTAACGCTAAAAAAATTATAACAAAGTTATCAAATATGTTAAATTAAAATAGGTAAAATAAATTGGGGGAATATGAAATTAATTAATAGTTGAGGATGTAATATATGAAAAATATGAGGCAAAAATTGAAAAAAAAGTGAAAATTTTGAGGTATAAGTGATATTTACTAAAGATAAAATCTAGATGCTCAAAGGGAACGATTGTGATCATTGGATCCAAGTGTGATCGCTCACTATGGCGATCACGTTTTCTTCTATTCCTGATCGCTGGATTCAAGTGTGATCGCTCACTATAGCAATCACGTTTTCTTCTATTCGCAATCGCTGGAATCCAGTCCTCGGATCCAATCGCGCGATTTGGATCCAAGTTTAATCGGTCACTAGCAATCAAACTTTTTCTTCTATTCCCCCCAAGCACAGCAAACCGAAAACCCAACTCCTCAAACCCTAAATCAACCATCTAACCCCAAATCTAACCTTAAACCAGCTATCTAACCTCAAATCTAACCCTAAATCAGCGATCTAACCCCAAATCTAAGCCCAAATTCGTGAAAACCCATCCTAATTGATTACCCAAGACCCTAAATCAGGTGAGTGCTTCAAAGTTTGGCACCCTAATCGTCTCGAAACAACCTGCATCATGCTTTTCCATTAGAGAAGGGAGAGAAAGGTGCTTGCGACTTGGGTTGTCGTGGTTGTTTAAATTGCGTGTGGGGTGTATATTGTCATGAGAATTCGGTTCCTCTATGGTAGTTTTTTTGTTGTTGTTTAATTAGCGAAAAAACAAGTTTATTTTGTCATAATTTTTTATACATAGTTGTGTCTGTCTCTCTGAATTTCATAAAAAGTTTTGTTCAAATAGTTGCATAAGGGATGTGCTTTGGGTTTGAACGAATTATGGTTTTATGAGTGATGGTTCAAGCAATCCTATCTTCCTCACATCTTCAATTGTTATTGCTCAAAATAATAGATAATTTTCCATGTTATTGCTTTTTTGAGTAGATTTTTTTTTGTTACAGTAGAATGACCGGTAGAAAGAAATATAGGCCAAAAGTTGTGGATACCAGTGAAAAAATGAAGAGGAAGAAAAGTTGTCATGATCCTCCCTCCTCCTCCTCGAAGAAGAAATGTAATCATCCTTCCTCCATGGATCCAACTGTTGATCCCACCTCCACCAATCCCACCTCCTTCAATCCAGTTGATCCCACTGTTAATCATCCACCGAGTTCATCCAACCCTAATCCAAGTTCATCCAACCCCATATGCAATGAGGAAATATCTTTCTTCAACAAAGATTGCAAACAGTGGTATGAGAACTACATTAATTATAGGACTTTGTTATTGGAGAGGGGTGTTTTACTAGAACAATTAAAAGAGGTAGGATGTGATGTTATTTTTTCTCTTCATCAATGGAATTCTACGGTAGATATCAAGAAGACGGATAAAGTATATAATACATTGGTGAAGATATTTTGTTCTAATATTCATGATATTGATAGAGATGATTACTAGTTTAAGTCCCTAGTGAGGAACGCAAGTTTTGAAGTAATTTTAGATTTAGTTTCAAAATATTGGGAGTTCGTCGACGCTTCATTTCTAGTAATACCCTTACCTATCCATTTAAGAATTTTAAGGACATACCTAAGCTGAAAGATGTTCATGCAGAAATTGAGGGTATACCTAATAAATTTAGTGAGAGTGTTGACGATCCAGAATTTTTTCAGCAAGACCTTACTCCCAAATATAGGATGTTAAATCTTATAGTGGGCTACAATATTATACCAAAAGGACATACTGCTAAGTTTGGACTTCATCGAGCTCATCTCTTGTATGCCATTGGAAAGGGTATATGTATAGATTTTCCTTGTTTAATAGTTGATGAAATTATTTCGGTACAAGGTATAAAGGATAGGCGACGATGTCTCCCATTCCCAATTTTGATTTCAAAGATTATGGAGGATTGTGGAGTTGTGATTTACTCAAGCGACACTTATTCCACTCCCATGAATCCAATTTATGGTGGGACAATAAAGATAAGTTTGTGACAAGGGAAGAAGAAGAAAATTCAGCAGCCACAAGTTGAAATCGAGAATGAAGTTGAAGTTGAGGATGAAGATGAAGCCCAAGCTCAGGATGTCCCAAATTCTTCCACAACTGGTATTCCNAGTACAACTCAGCAACCGCAGCCACAAGTTGAGAATGAAGTTGAAGCTGAGGATGATGAAGCCCAAACCTAAGATGTCCCAAATTCTTCAATCGCTGGTGTACCAAATTCTTCCACAGCTGGTGTCCCAAATTCTTCCACAGATGGTCTTCCTCTTGATGCATTGCAGGTATATGGAATGTTGCTGGTACGATTGGGTAGAAAGATGGAGGAATTTGAAAATTCTCAAAATGAAATAAAGGATACTCAAAATGAAATAAAGGAGTCTCTGAAGAGGATGGATAGTAGGTTGGATAGAATTGAGTCTTTTTATATGAAAAACAAAGAAATAGCTAGGAAGTGACAATTGTATGTAATTGTAGTTGTTGGTTTTTGATACAATAGTTGAAGTAACAGTAGTGACAATTGTATGTAATTATAGTTGAACTAGCAGTACTGTTTTTGTCAAAAATCTAAAATATCTTTATTCTTTATACATAAAATGAGAATAATAATGGTTGTGATAAGCATGGTTGTGGTAATTTAGTACTAAGATTGCTGAGCAGTTGAAAATTGGAATGGATTGGTATGCTGGGATGAAGATGGCAGAATGGAGCTGGTGCTTTATTGCAGTCTGTTCTATGTACTGGTGCAGTTGACTGAGCAGCTAAACTGGTTTGGTTTGCTGGGATTGAGTTGGTAGGATGTTACCCAGTAGTTTCAAGAATGTTGCATTTGTACAGAAAACTTGTTTTGCTTTGTTGTTCTGTTTTTTGTTATAAATCAGAAATACAGTTTTCTGGTTTTTCGGTTTTTATGTTAAAACAGATTATATTTTTTCGGTTAAACAGTTTTTGTTTTTTTTTATTCTTGTAATTTTGAGATTTATGCAATAAAATTTGAGATTTAAAAAAAAAAAATCCCTTGATCACACTATTGATCTACTGCACCTATCGGTGTGAAGCTATTGATAGCTACTCTTGCTCACCTGATCCCAATCTTGATCGTAAACCTCACTTGATCCCACTCTTGATCGATCAAGGGTCGCTAACCTCACTTGATCCCACTCTTGATCGCTAAATTGATCGGATCCACTTGATTGATGGCAAACATGCACTTGATCCATTATCAAAATAATGGTAATAGTAACTAAATAATGGTAATATTAACAAAAAAAACAAAGTGGTACTTCACAAAAAAAGTGGTAATGTTAATCACAAGTTTGGTACTATTAACCAAAAGAATTGTAATGTTAACCAAAAAAATATAATCTTAACCAAAAGCAATGTTAACAATGTAATGTTAACCAAAAAATAACCAATAAAATGGTCCTACCTCAACATGTAATCTTACCTAAAAGAGTTGTACTCTTAACCAAAACAGTGGTAATCTTAACCAAATAAATTGTAATGTTATCCAAAATAGTAATACTCTTAATCAAAATAGTGGTAATGTCTATGAAAATAATGGTAATGTTAACCAAAAGAGTGGTACTCTTAACTAAAACAGTGGTAATCTTAATCAAAAAAGTGATAATATTATCCAAAACAGAGGTACTCTTAACTAAAATAGTGGTAATCTTGCCTCAAATAATGGGCTTTTTATAAAAAAAATGGTACTCTTAACCAAAAAAAATGGTATTCTTACCTCAACAGTGGTAATTTAAAGAAAAAAAATGGTAATCTTAATCAAAAGAATTGTAATGTTAACCAAAAAAGTGTAATCTATTGTATGAGTAATGCTAACCTAATCAATGGTAATGTTAACCAAAAAATAACCAATAAAATGGTCTTACCTAAACATGTAATCTTATCTAAAAGAGTGGTACTTTTAACTAAAATAGTGGTAATCTTAAGCCAAAAATTGGTAATGTTATCCAAAATAGTGGTACATAAACCAAAAATAGTGGTAATGTCTACGAAAATAGTGGTAATGTTAACCAAAAGAGTGGTACTCTTAACCAAAATAGTGGTAATCTTAACCAAAAAAATGATAATATTATCCAAAACAGAGGAACTCTTAACTAAAATAGTGATAATCTTGCCTAAAAAAATGGTAATTTTATGAAAAAAATGGTACTCTTAATCAAAATAGTGGTTATCTTGCCTCAAATAATGGGCTTTTATGAAAAAAAAAATGGTACTCTTAACTCAATAGTGGTAATCTTAAAGAAAAAAATGGTAATCTTAATCAATAGAATTGTAATGTTAACAAAAAAAGTGTAATCTTAATCAAAAGTGATGTTAACCTAACCAATGGTAATGTTAACCAAAAAATAACCAATAAAATGGTTTTACCTGAACATGTAGTCTTACCTAAAAGAGTGGTACTCTTAACCAAAACAGTGATAATCTTAACCCAAAAAGTGGTAATGTTATCCAAAATAGTGGTACCGAAACTAAAATAGTTGTAATGTATACAAAAATAGTGGTAATATTAATGAAAAGAGTGGTACTCTTAACCAAAAAAAAATGATACTTTTACCTCAACACGGTCATCTTTCACTCAAAAAAGTGGTAATCTAACCCAAAAAATGTGATAATATTGCCTCAAAAGATTGTTTATTCTTTATATATAAAATGAGCTTGGTTCTTGTGGAAATGGAGCATTCCTATAGGGAAGGAAATGCATTTGCAGACTCTTTCGCCAACCAAGGAGTCTGTGACAATGCTTCTCATACTCATACTTCCCCTTTCACTCTCAATTTACGTACGAGACAACTTTTAATGCAAGATCAACGACAAATTAAATCGCTGCGGTCTAAGATTAAAGTTCTCTATAGATTCAACGTCAACTTAAATCTAACAACGTCAAAAAATTACTAAACCAATAAATGTTGGATAGTAAAAGTATTTTTACAACAAAGGCCTTTTGCTTTAAGTAATCCGAAAATGTATTTGTTGCATAGACTATCATGAATAAAACTTTTCATTGTATGGAAAACATATCATGGAACACCAAATTGTTACTAGCACATTAACTTAACCCTCATAGACATATTGATTGGTTGTGTTTAATGAGGAAGATACTACTATGACAATGACAATGAAAAAGAATGTCAGCATGCATAATGTATAAGTTTCATTCAATACATAAGTTGAATGGTCAGTAGGAATGAGAATGTTATTGGTGTGTCAGCACAATTAAGCATGATCTGACAAAATATCATCCAGGAAGAAAAGGCCAGATAGAAATTTTGTAATTAAAGTTAATCCAATGTCAAGGGAGTCAAAAGTACAAAACTTAGAACAATCAGAGCAAGGAAGTGTCCCTTCTCCAGTAGGCAGCACCTCCTCTACTCCCACCCCCTGCTGCCCCAAACTCAAACAACTTGATAGGGGAAGATGGAGAAGACATGCTAGAATTCAAGGTGCAATGACAAGGAGCAAACTTTGCACAGAAAAATAAATGTTAGGCATCTGTCAATTACCAGCAACTGTTATTTTTGGAATGCTGGAATGCTCAAAATAGTTGCTACTGAAATGTGCTGGAATGCTCAAAATAGCTGCTACAAATTGCTCATCTTGGCTCTCTTAGCTATTGTTCACGTGACTACATCGAGGGTAAGGTAAATACTTCCCCCAAGCTAGGTTTAATTTAATTTTTAATCAAAAATATTGTCTCTCAAGTTCTCCAAAAAAAAATAAGGGTATATCTAAGTGAAAAAAAAACCTTGAATGGAGAATGTAAATTAAACCTTTTCATTCAAAAGGAAAAACGTAAAATTTCATCAACCCATCTTCCTCCATGATCTTGGTGCCCACTGTGATAGCATAAATTTATGGTTAGATGACAATGGTGAAAAAACAAAATTTGTGGGATAAAATTTATAATTTTTGTAATTACCTCCATATTACTGAAACTAGTGTTGATGTATTGTGATTGAATGGTAGAATCAAAGCTTGACATTCCATCCTAAAATAACAAGGAATGAGTACATATGAAAAAAAAATATAAACATCCCAAGAGTATTATATGAACCTAATAGTTGAGGATACCCTCATTGACAAAGGGAATGCAACAGTCATCCTTTTTCGATGATGGCATAGATTGTTGCGATCCACCATGCTGTGAAAAAGGCATGTGGGGCGGCTGGTCTGATCCACTAAGTTTTAAAAAGGGAATGTCCCATGGTTGTTGTGATCTAACTGGTTGTGAAAAAGGCATGTCCTCGAATGGATAATTGGATTGAGACATCAAGAGTGGACATTTTCTGACAGTATGGCCAGTGCCCCTGCATTTACTACATCTTCATGGGTTGATTGGAATATTCTTTTATGCACGACTATGAGTACCCTTGGTTTTTACAATCTTTGGATCATTCACACCGAATTGTGTAGTTGTCACATTTGCATCGTGTTTGCCAAGTGACTCATGATGGGCTTTAAGAAGAGAAGTTCTTTGTTGCACCGTACTCCTCAAGTCATTTGAGTCTGAGAGCGACTGTGAAGCATAATAACACATTTGGCTGCACATTGACATAAGTCCAGCATAACGCATAGGAATTGACACATCTAGCTGCACATTATAACATTCGTGTGCACATGTATACCCAGTTTTTGCTTTAATGGTCCACCTGTCCATCACCATGGAATGAGGAAACTCTTGTATGCACTCATACTTCATGACCGCGATCATGTGAGAGCATGGAATCCCAAAAGACTTAAATTTCATGCAATTGCATTTAAACGCTTGAATTTGAGGATAATATTCCACAATCCATCTTGATTGTGGTTTTGTGAATCGAGACAAATAGTAACTCTGATGACTATCAATCGCCATCTTATACACGACAAAAAATACAGCTTTTTCTTGTATCTTATCACTGAACTTGAAGAAAGTCTTTCTGGTAAATAGAGTAGCAGCATGTTGCTCTAAGCATCTAAGTGTTGTCTGCATCATTGGCCTAGAATGTTTCGACTCAAAGTCATCATTGGCCTCACACTCCCTGATCCTTGACAAGCCCTTGTCATAGTGCCTAACAAACTCGAATAATCATTGGCTTGTTTTTAGAAAGTGTTTAAGGTAGGCATTCATACTCTCCGATTGTTGCGTGCTTTTTAAACCGACAAAAAATTTTCCTCGCAAGTACGC